TTTAAACGAAGCCTGGATGTAAAGAATTTGGATTTCATGTCCTAAAATCAATCAGTGTTTGTTGATTCATTGATTTTATTTCCCCGCACGGCGCAGCGAGGTAGAGGAAACACAAAGATAGCAGAATATTTGTGTAATTTAACCAGGAGACAAACTCTAGATCTGCAGAGTGAAGCCAATGCTTCATGTGTTAAAGCTGCATTCTCTCTAGTGTCCAGCAGGGGGCGACTCCTCTGGTTGTATAGAAGTCTATGAGAAAATGACTCTACTTCTCTCTTGATTTATTACCTCAGTAAACATTGTAAACATGAGTTTATGGTCTCAATCTCTAGTTTCAAGTCTTCTTCACTACAGCATGATGTTCATTTAGTACATTATGGTCCATTTAGAGTCACACAGACCATAAAGCAGGGGATGCTTTAGGGCGGGGCTACACGGTGATTGACAGGTCTCTACCAGAGATGTATACGGCGTCTCTACGTCACTCCTCCTCAGTCCAGATATGGTCACTTCCTGTTCACTGGTTGATTAAAAACAAGATGGAGACGGCCAAATCTCTGAACTGGAGCCTTCAAAACATCACAAACTAACGAGAGACGTCAGGACGACTACGTCCACTTCTTATATACAGAATATGTACATATTTAAGCAGCTGTCTATGCAGAATGTGCTTCACTAAACGCAACAAAAACAGACTTGGAGGTCTCCATGAGACGTGAGTTAGTGTCTAAAGACGCTCTCTATTCACCGGATTCTGAACTAGGCTCTTTCCTATTCGTCACTTTGAGTTCTCGTTCCGTTTCTCACCGTTGCCAGTCTTAACTTCTGTCACTTATTATTAAAACAGTTTTTGCTTTTAAAAAGTTATAAATTCTGGATTGTTTTCAGGTGAGAAAGAAACCATTCCAAAGACACCCACAGTGATGTTGAAACAGCGGTTATAGTTTAGGAACATTTCAGTGGACCTGAGGCGTCATTTATGAACTCTGTAGAGGATCCACATTAAGTGATTAAGTACACATCTACGCCAAAACCTATAGAGGTGGATCTGGTTTGATCCAGGAGGACAGCTAATGACGTTAGCCGCACTGGAGCTTACGGCTAACGTAGGGAGGTTCACTTCAGTTACATGATGATGCCTTCAGGCTCTGCTCAGTGAACATGAGTACTGGCTGAAGGTACATTATAACTTTATCATGATGTGTTCACATGTCATCTGTAAAATGTAGTTTTGGTGATAAACTATAATAAATCCAGTAGTTTGAAGGAGATGTTTTCACATGAATATAAAATAGATATTAGAGATGAATTATGATGTTTACCTTCTAACACGAGCTCTGCACACATTATTATACTTCATTAATAATAATGATGAAGAGATGTTTTTGAATTTTGTGTTTCTAAGCAAATCACCACCATAGAAGACTTAAAGTAAAAGGATAAATAATAACTAGAAAATTTCAGAGTTTCTCAAACAAAGGTTTATATCTCAAAGACAGAAATGATGGGAGCGTTAGCTCCCATCATTTCCAAAGGCTTCTCAAACAAAGATGTTTATGTCCAGTACAGAAATGACGGGAGCCATTTGTGGACTGTCCATCACAAATACAAGATTCAATCCAAGAGTATGAATCTAAAATGCAGAAAAGAGAGAAGCGATATCTCAATCGAACCTCAACGATACTATCGGTAACATCGGCGTGTGTAGCTATACAGGTGCTGGTCATATAATTAGAATATCATCAGAAAGTTGATTTATTTCACTAATTCCATTCAAAAAGTGAAACTTGTCTATTATATTCATTCATTACACACAGACTGATATATTTCAAATGTTTATTTCTTTTAATTTTGATGATTATAACTGACAACTAAGGAAAATCCCAAATTCAGTATTTCAGAAAATTAGAATATTGTGAAAAGGTTCAATATTGAAGACACCTGGTGCCACACTCTAATCAGCTAATTAACTCTAAACACCTGCAAAGGCCTTTAAATGGTCTCTCAGTCTAGTTCTGTAGGCTACACAATCATGGGGAAGACTGCTGACTTGACAGTTGTCCAAAAGACGACCATTGACACCTTGCACAAGGAGGGCAAGACACAAAAGGTCATTGCAAAAGAGGCTGGCTGTTCACAGAGCTCTGTGTCCAAGCACATTAATAGAGAGGCGAAGGGAAGGAAAAGATGTGGTAGAAAAAAGTGTAGAAGCAATAGGGATAACCGCACCCTGGAGAGGATTGTGAAACAAAACCCATTCAAAAATGTGGGGGAGATTCAGAAAGAGTGGACTGCAGCTGGAGTCAGTGCTTCAAGAACCACTACGCACAGACGTATGCAAGACATGGGTTTCGGCTGTCGCATTCCTTGTGTCAAGCCACTCTTGAACAACAGACAGCGTCAGAAGCGTCTCGCCTGGGCTGAAGACAAAAAGGACTGGACTGCTGCTGAGTGGTCCAAAGTTATGTTCTCTGATGAAAGTGAATTTTGCATTTCCTTTGGAAATCAGAGTCTGGAGGAAGAGAGGAGAGACACAATCCACGTTGCTTGAGGTCCAGTGTAAAGTTTCCACAGTCAGTGATGGTTTGGGGTGCCATGTCATCTGCTGGTGTTGGTCCACTGTGTTTTCTGAGGTCCAAGGTCAACGCAGCCGTATACCAGGAAGTTTTAGAGCACTTCATGCTTCCTGCTGCTGACCAACTTTATGGAGATGCAGATTTCATTTTCCAACAGGACTTGGCACCTGCACACAGTGCCAAAGCAACCAGTACCTGGTTTAAGGACCATGGTATCCCTGTTCTTAATGGGCCAGCAAACTCGCCTGACCTTAACCCCATAGAACATCTATGGGGTATTGTGAAGAGGATGATGCGAAATGCCAGACCCAACAATGCAGAAGAGCTGAAGGCCACTATCAGAGCAACCTGGGCTCTCATAACACCTGAGCAGTGCCACAGACTGATCGACTCCATGCCACGCCGCATTGCTGCAGTAATTCAGGCAAAAGGAGCCCCAACTAAGTATTGAGTGCTGTACATGCTCATACTTTTCATGTTCATACTTTTCAGTTGGCCAAGATTTCTAAAAATCCTTTCTTTGTATTGGTCTGAAGTAATATTCTAATTTTCTGAAATACTGAATTTGGGATTTTCCTTAGTTGTCAGTTATAATCATCAAAATTAAAAGAAATAAACATTTGAAATATATCAGTCTGTGTGTAATGAATGAATATAAGAGACAAGTTTCACTTTTTGAATGGAATTAGTGAAATAAATCAACTTTCTGATGATATTCTAATTATATGACCAGCACCTGTATATTGTGACATCTTTGGGCAGTAGAAGCCACACTGTCAAAATTTCTTGTGAAATTTTCTAGTTGTTATTATTATTATTATTATTATTATTAAGCCCGCAGGATTATAGTCGGTGTGGCAAACGTGGCTCTGCACATATTTCTTTTACACCTTTTATTATTTCAATATTTGCTGGAAATGCATTGATACAATATTCAGTAAACATTTTACAGCCTTTTAACTGGAAACTTTTTTTACGGTCTCTATTGTGACCGATGGATTAAATGGGTGAAGACTTCTCGTTTCTCTGTTCTTCTCTCTCTCTTAAACACAGTTCCTACAGTCGTCCTTAATAATCTGGAGTTCATTCTGTGTTCACAGTTGCAGCAGCTCCAGAGCCGTTCATCAGGACGCTTGATGCCACAGATGTCTGGGCGCTGTTACAGTGTGAGGTTCGAGGTGCTTCTCCACAACCTGCAGTAGAATGGCAGGACAGTGATGGAAACAGACTTCCTGCTGAGGAACCACAGGTCTCAGCGAGAGGAGGCAGCTACGACGTCACTCTGTACATCACCTTGAAGAAGACGGGCCGCTATCGCTGTGTAGTCGAGCAGGAAGACATCAAGCACAGAATGACTTCTGAGACCTTTGTGCACATCAGTAGTGAGACTTCATTGTTGTTGTTCATGTCTTAGTGGATTCAGATGTTCAGTTGTTGCTTTGTGTCGTCTGTGTGCTGAACATGAGCTGCAGTTACATTTTATTGTTGTGATGTGTTTCAGAGCATGTGCCTAGAGACTGGATCGGATGGGTTGCTGGATTTATTTTTGGAGGTGTCAGTGTTCTTGCAGTTCAAGCTCTGCTTGTTTATAGGAAGTGCATCACAATACGCCGCAAGAACAGTAAGTTTATACAAATTATTCTACCAGTGTGTCCATAATGTGCAGACATCAACAGATGCTCTGATACAACTAGTGTGTCGGCTCAATGCTGCTGGTGGTGCTGCTCATGTTCCAGGTCTGAATAAAGCAGCTCAGATATTGATGTTTTATAGTTGGAGAACTTAAGTTTGTCTTAGTTTTAAGAGTCAAATAGCTTCATGTGATGGAACAATAGGTTTTAATGAGATGTTTTTCATAATTCTGTTCATGAGGCTGAGCTCTTCATATATTTGTGGACATGATTAATTCAGCTTTTCTCTAAAGAGACTTACAATAAGTGAGTTCATCCACAGCACACAATAAAGCTAAACATTGCAGAATGCAGGTAGATCAGACAGAGAAGAGCTTTTTATTCCAGAGTTTATAAACAGCTGTGGTTCAGTGTGAACACATGTAGAGTTTCTGCTGCTCTACAGTTACACTAAAGGATTAGTTAGCCACACAGCAGAGAAGTGTGAAGCATTAATATACTAACGTATGAGAGTAAGAAGTCAGATGTACACGTTGTCACCGGTTTAACATGAATGTTTGGTGAAACAAATTACTTCATGAGAAACTGTTCAATCAATCTCCACCATCACCTGTTTGAAAGACTTTTAAAAGATACAAAAAATGTATATATTTTTGTGTGAATCACCAAAATACTTTATACTAATAACGTTAACTTGATGTAACGTATACACTCATTTCTGTGCTGCAGGTCCTCATCAGCAGGGACAAGCTCCGGTTGACAAGAAAAAAGCTAACAGGGACATCAGTTCATGTGGAGATCCTTCAGGTCTGCTACCTGAGTCAAAGGACGCTTCATAGCTCTATAGCTCTGTGGCTCAGTGTGTGTGTGTGTGTGTGTGTGTGTGTGTGTGTGTGTGTGTGTGTGGGAGGGAGGGAGGGAGGGAGGGAGGGAGGGAGGGAGGACATTGTGTCCGGTCCTCACCTTCTGTCAGACCTCCAGAGGTCTGAGGTTCAGGTTAGAGTTAGGTTCAGGTCAAAGAGGGACGGTCTACATCAATGTTTAAATAGTTCATTCATAAATGCATCAACAGTGATCCATGTGGGCTGATCACACCGAGACGCGCTGCAGCCGCTTCAAACACAGTTTAGCAAAGAAAGGGCTGCAAAACAGCGTGGGGGGGGCTGTGTGCACAACGATCATGTGATTAATGGGAAATGTATAATGAGCTCGCTCTCTCACATGAAACTATCACGAGATGAGATGTGAATGCTCTCTCACAGTCCATCAGCTAACTAGCGAGCCCTACCCACATCCATCCATTATCTGCAACCGCTCCTCCTATTCAGGGTCGTGGGGTAGCTGCAGCCGATCCCAGCTTACACTGTGTGATGGTTCACCTGCACAGCGGGAACATCCCAAGTCTCTTATTTGTCGTTTCCTCGCTCTTCGCTTGAACCGTAAGTTGTTCTGCTCCGCCATATTGACGGCCGTCCCAAAGCTCTTATTCCTGCTCTGAGGAGCGAGGACGCACGAGAGCCGCCTTCCAGACACGCCGAGAGACGAAACACCTTTTACATCATTTACCATCATTTCATTCAGTCACATGAGGCTGATCATTCCTGAGTGTTTGATGAGTTATATCATTTAAATTTAACCTGAAACATGGAGCCTAATAAACTAATTCCAGTGTTCAAGAGAAACAACAATCATATCTTGGGTTATTTAATAATGACGTCACAATATGAATTTCAAAAGGCCTCTGCCCTTTATACCAAAACCATGAGTCCAATCAACAACATATGGGTACCATGAGAGAGGTAAGACTGTGCCGAACGCGTTGATGTGTTTTTATGTTTGTGGTGTTAATAATGTGAGCTCCAGAGCAATATACAAAACCGGTACCGTCTGCTTTCTTTGAGAAATGAGTGGTGAGGTTCTGTTGGTGCGTTGCTGTTTTCAAGCCTCAAATCTTTTCAGACCCATGTTTCAGTGCTTTTGAACTACAGATGTTTTACAACCGACAGTCTGATGGAATACTTTTATACTACTTATTTATCAATCTGATAAATAACACTTGAACCAGCTTACTGCGGTTCCTTATGTGCCAGTTAAAGGTTCCAGTCTTTGTAATAACGTGATGATCAACGGGGTCCGATGCAGCACGAAGGTCTAACAAGACAAGAACAGGGACCGGTCCTTTGTCAGACGTTTGAGATGTTGTGATGTATAAATAGATTGAACTGAATGTTCTATGAAAGCACGTCAGGTTCCTGGTTGTTCAGCATATATAACCGTATCATGTAATTCTATGCAGAACAAAGACATGAGGCTAGAAATGATCCCAAACAGACACTGAAGAGTAACTGTTCATTGTGTGGTTTGAATGTTAGACGTGTTTAAGTTACTTCTCTATTTCTCTATTTCTGGACTCTTTTGTTTTTAAATCGCACGTGTACGCTGCCATCTGCTCGCTTGTATGAATTTAAGTTGTATGTTTATTGTCAGCCCAATGTTACATGACACCATGAAGAAAAAAGTATTCTAATGGTGAAAGCTCTTTTTGTTAAACTTAAATGTCAACAACTAAATACTGTGACAATCACAGCAGCTGTTACTTAAAGGGCCGGTGTGAAGCATTAAAGTGACAAACCAAACAGCCGTGTTTTTATTCACGTATTTCTATTCTAATCCTAATGTTAGACATTAGAGATTGTGAATGGACAAGGCAAAATTTGTTGTTCTCAATTGCCAAAAAAATAAGTGTTAACGCTCGCTTGATGTATTTTATTGTCTTCATCACCGAACATGAAACCTGGACATGAACTATTAAAATGTGAAATAAACTCCTGGAGACCTCTTTCCATTTTTTTCTCGTTGATGGTGAGATGATCCTTTTCCTTAAATTGTTTTGTTTACAGTTCACAACCTCTACTTCTTACATTACAGACAAGCGTAGTCTCTAGTGGCAACTTCTTAACAAACTACGCTGTTCCAAAGTTTATTGGCTCCAAACCACCGGTTCTGAAAAGTGAAAGCTGCATTCTCTCTAGTGTCCACCAGGGGGCGACCCCTCTGGTTGTATAGAAGTCTATGAGAAAATTACTACTTTTTTCGTTAACACTTTATTGACTTTTTTCGCAGTCATATACTATGACCTTTTTTCAACATAATATTCTTTGACTCTTTTACGACATGCTATACAATGATGTTTTTACTATAATACTATATTACGACTTTTCAACATACATTACAATTACTTTTTTACGACACACTTTACAGACTTTTTTCGACATACTTTTTTCGACATATTCTTTGACTTTTTAATGACATACTTTAACATGACTTTTTTTGAAATCCTATACTATGACTTTTTTTCGACATAATTTACTTTGATTTTTTGACTTTTTCAGTACTTTTTTCTACACGGTATACTGTGACGTTTTTGCGCATTACTCTAGGGCGATTTTCAACATACTATACTATGACTTTTTTGACATTGTATATGGTAGATTCTTTTTACTACGACAACTTTGACTTTTTTTTGACACACTAAACTATCCCACTATAGCGTTTTTCTCCCTTTCACCTTGTTTGATTCCGCGGTCCAAACTGTGGAGTCCCTACGCTTCCTGCGCTCAATCATCACCGAAGACATCAGCAGCTGAAGAAGTGAGACCTGTCAAAGGCTGCAGTATATCATTCTATAGAGGCTGTAATCCTCCAGGACTCTGAGACTTTCTGACTTTTTGCACATTCCATGGACTAAACATTGAAATGCCTGCACAGCTGTTACGTTCTTCCTTTATAAAAGATATATTGTGAACTTTCATATTTTGTCAGTACTGTTAATCTAGTTTATTTTATTCACGTTTCTTCACTGTTGGCAGAACTTGCTTGTCTTTTATTTTCACTACTGCAATAATTATGTGCAAAACATCACTTTTCACAAGTCACAGCTTAGTGTGCCGTGGATAAAGTCAAAGTATGTCATAGTCTAATATGTTGAAAAAAGTAATGTGTCATTGTATAGTATGTTAATTTAAAAAGTATTCAGAATGTTTGAAAAGGTTATAGTATCATATGCCGTAAAAAATCCTAAAAAGTCATATCGTAGTATGTCAAAAAAACTAATTAAAAAGTCATCGTGAAGTATGTCGTAAAAATTCAAAGTATCTCGAAAAAAGTTTTAAAAAAGTCATAGTATTTATGTCGAAAAAAGAAATTGAATTGTTTGTCGAACAAAGTTGAAGTGTAGTATATCGAAAAAAGGCAGTTATAGTATGTTGTAAAAAGTCATGGAAAGTTTATTGTAAGTCTTAAAAAGTTAAAAAGTGTCCATCGAAGTTAAATTCCATCCATCCATCCATTTTCCTCCGCTTATCCGGGGTCGGGTCGCGGTGGCAACAGGCCAAGCAGGCCGACCCAGACCTCCCTCTCACCGGCAACATGTTCCAGCTCATTCTGGGGGATCCCGAGGCGTTCCCAGGCCAGCTGGGAGATGTAATCTCTCCAGCGTGTTCTGGGTCTTCCCCGGAGTCTCTTCCCAGTTGGACGTGCCTGGAAAACCTCCAGTGGGAGGCGTCCAGGAGGCATCCTAATTAGATGCCCGAACCACCTCAGCTGACTCCTTTCGACGCGAAGGAGTAGCGGCTCGACTCCAAGCTCCCTCCTGATGACCGAGCTCCTTACCCTATCTCTAAGGCTGAGCCCGGCCACCCTACGGAGGAAGCTCATTTCGGCCGCTTGTAGCCGCGACCTTGTCCTTTCGGTCACGACCCAGAGTTCGTGACCATAGGTGAGGGTAGGAACGTAGACCGAGTGGTAAATTGAGAGCTTTGCCTTCCGGCTCAGCTCCCTCTTCACCAAGATGGTCCGGCGCAGCGCCTGCTTTACTACTGCAGCCGCACCGATCCGTCTGTCGATCTCCCGCTCCATCTTACCCTCACCCAACACCCACCGGGAACGTGTCTGACTTATTGCCGAGAATGCGGACACAGCTCCTACTGCAGTCGTACAGAGACCGGATCGCCCGTTGTAACGGGTCCGGCACCCCATACTCCCGCAGCACCCCCCACAAGAACCCCCGAGGGACCCGGTCGAAAGCCTTCTCCAAGTCCACAAAGCACATGTAGACTGGTTGGGCAAACTCCCAGAACCCCTCCAGTAGTCTTGCGAGGGTAAAGAGCTGGTCCACTGTTCCACGGCCGGGACGGAATCCGCACTGCTCCTCTTGAATCTGAGGTTCGACAAACGGTCGGAGCCTCCTTTCCAGCACCCTGGCATAAGCCTTCCCCGGGAGGCTGAGTAGTGTGATACCCCGGTAATTAGAGCACACTCTCCGGTCCCCCTTTTTGAAAATGGGAACCACCACCCCGGTCTGCCAGTCCATGGGCACTGATCCCGACCCCCATGCGACATTGAAGAGGCGTGTCAGCCAGGACAGCCCAACTATGTCCAGCGCCTTCAGCATCTCAGGGCGGATCTCATCCACCCCCGGCGCCTTGCCACCGAGGAGCTTTTTGACTAATTCAGCGGCCTCTGCCAGGGATATGGGTGAGCCTCCCCCTAGATCTTCAGGCGCTGCCTCTTCTGCAGAGGACATGTTGGTCGGGTTTAGGAGTTCCTCAAAGTGCTCTTTCCACCGCCCGACGATGTCCCCTGTCCGGGTCAGCAGTTCCCCCCCCCTGCTGAGAACAGCCTGGGGTAAGCCCTGCTTTCCCTTCCTGAGCCGTCGGATGGTTTGCCAGAACCTCCTTGAGGCCAACCGAAAGTCCTTCTCCATGGCCTCCCCGAACTCCTCCCATGCCCGAGTTTTAGCATTCGTGACCACTGCAGCTGCAGCCCTCCTGGCCTGCCGGTACCTGTCAGCTGCTTCGGGAGACCCCTGGGCCAACCAGGCCTTGAAGGTCTCCTTCTTC